CCTCCAGTAGGGGGTCTAGGTGTACTTGGTCCAGGGGTTGGTGGTTTAGGTGTAGTTGGCCCTCCAGTAGGGGGTCTAGGTGTACTTGGTCCAGGGGTTGGTGGTTTAGGTGTGGTTGGCCCTGCAGTTGGTGGCTTAGGTGTGGTTGGCCCTCCAGTTGGTGGCTTAGGTGTAGTTGGTGTAGGAGAAGAAGGTTTTGGTGTTGTTGACTCAGCTATAGGGAAGGAGAAAAAAACAACAAAACCATAAGTTGTTGAAAAAATAATTGCTATGCGTAGTTTTTCTCCTGGTGGGTAAAGATGTAGTCATGTCTCCATCTGACCAGTTTCTTACCGGTGCAGGTCTTGATACAGACGGCATCAACGGCAATATCTGTCTTCATGGTTTCACCAAAGGTTCCGACAATTGCAAACTGAAAAGAAATTGAAATAAATGTTTCTGACATAACTTAGACCTTGAAAAACACTCCCAACGGGTTTCTCATCCATATATATATGTAATCTACATGAAATTTACAGTTTGGTGTTATCGACAATAACATGTGAGGCGCAATGCCATTTCATAGGACATTTAGGTAAGGTTTGGAATGGAGGGACAAAAACCACATAAGTACCAGTTAGTGATCAAACTTTTTAAAACTCGCAGACTGATTTAAACAACTGTTAATACATATTTGTAAACAATAATCATATTAGTGCCATGATTTTACCTGAGTTTCAGCGGTTCCAGTGGCGCGGACCTCTGCAGGCTTCCAGCCCATACCCTGGTTTCCTTTAACACTGAAGAAAGAAGGTCCAAGGCCTCCACCTGCTAAATGTCAAATATAAACAAAAACTCAAACAAAGGTTATTATGGTAAAAATGTGCAGTAATTTTTATGCCATAACATAAATCCAACCCCTTACCTGTTATGGTGTGGACACTGATCTCCATTTTGGTGCTGGTACCATACAGGTAGTAATAAAAGCTGAGTTCCAAACATCCTGAGGGGGATGGAATCGCAGGACTTCTGATTTGAGAGCTTTCTCCTTCCACAGCTTCGTAAGAATCCATCAGCATGTAATTTCCAACTATGTATATAAGTACAAACAACTGGTCAAAACTTACAGCCACTTTTGGGGAACTTTCACAATCAGTTTACATCGTAATTTGATCTATATTTTCAGACTAATCAACACTAATGGTATTTTTAGTATGAAGGGTTTATCATGGTTTCATAAATGCTCAACTCTTGGCCCTCTATGAGCAGTACCCTAAACCACAGTTTTACTTACACCCAGGTTTAGAGAAGTCATCATCAGGTCCAGTGCCCTCTGTGTCTGTTTGTCCATTCCACTGATCAAAACCAATTAGCTCAGGATTTTCGGTGTGGACTGTCCACCCACACAGATCACCAATTTCGTCAAAATCACAGCTAGATTCACAAGCTGTAAAGAAAACCAATAGAAATTAGAAACAGAGTAGTGCCTGTCGTGGAATAATCCTCTGCCTTTTTCTTTTCATGGTAAGGGATACTGCTTATGTCTTGATGAGGTTGTTTATCCTCATTTTAAATACATTAGATACAAAATGTTTGATGACTGCAAATATTTGAGTCCACACATGCAAGTAAAGTATGTGAAAGTGGTAGGAAGTTGTCAGATCAATGTGAACTCATAGAATGACGTTTTAACAATGGGTTTGCAAAAATGAAACATGACCAGAATTTTTCAAACCTGCCTTCAGGGCTCATCTGCTCTAAGGGCAGGTTACCAAGGTTACTTATAGGCTGTCATCTCACAGTCTTTACGGTTAAAGTGGATAGTTTGGGGTTAAATGAAGGTAGAAAAGTCACTTTTTTAAAATGTTTGCATGCACAAGTTTTCCTGCCCATCAGAGGGAGCCCCATTGATGTTGTGCACAGCTCTTATGGTCTGTCAACATTGCTCAAAAACTCGAACTTAGCCAAATGTGTCAGATTCGCTGCTGGTAAGTCATAATCTATCGAGGCTCACTGGAAACATAAATAAACAAAGTGTAAATGTGCAGCAAGAGAAAACTGCCAGAGCTCATTCTTCTTGCTGTCTGTCCTGTTTCGCACTCCCTGGAATGGGTGACAATAGTGGAATCAACTTTTGGCTCTCAAAATGGTATCAGTGCCCTATTTGTTGGTACTCGCCGATACTCATACCACCATTTTAATGCTGGATCGGGGCCCCGCCCGATACTGGTATCGGTGCAACACTAGTATTTATCCCAGCGGAAAAAGTAATTATATAGCTGCCTTAAAGGCGTACTTGCAGAAACTAAACTTTAAATTAAATGTCACACTTTTCTAAGGTAACTAGAGTTTTACAGTGTGAATACCAGCAATGGTTATGAATAAGGGTATGAATAAAGGTGTTGGGCCAATTAGTGTCGCGTTATTATAAAGAATTGAGGTAAATAGTGTTTTAATAAAGGTAGAAATATGAATGTGTGTGTCTGAACTCACCAGGACATTCCCCCTCAGTGATGACAATGTTGTCCAATGCTGAGTCACAGGATGCAGAGAAACCTCTTTGAGCCTCAAACACAATCTATGCAGAGAAAATAATAAACATCCCAATGAATGACTTAAAGAATTAGGATTGCTCGCCTTACATAAACTAAGCTTCAGGTGCAAACTCCTCCACTAATAGTTCTTTGAAATACCTTCATATATTTCGGAGATTTCTAGAGTGCAATTGAAAGTAAAGTTAGACTCCAGATCAGGTTTTTAGGGTGGTCATAAAATAAAATCAGGAAATATTTTATGAATAAAATAAGATATATACACAGATAACTACATATATAAAATAAGATACATAAAGTTTCTTAAATGCGTTTATCAAAGCAACATTGCATCACTTTTAGCTACTAGCTTTAGCGCCCCTCAAGGCCACTAGCAGCATTGCAATGTCGCCATATTTCCTCTGTGTTTGGGAATCTGATAGCAGATCAATTTGGACCTGCGGACCTTTCAGACAGGACATATTTTCCCTCTGCACCTGCTGCTTGGGCAACTGATTGCTTGTATTCAGCAGTAAAGTGCTAGCATTAGCTTAGTGCTAGCTTAGAAGAATAATAGGCTGTAGCTGCACAACAGTTCCAGAGAGTTCGAAGCGATTGGGCTTGTAAAAGAGCCCGATTTCCATAGCAAACGCAATCACAAACTTTGGTCATCTTATTCTTTAGGGGAATTCAGACACACTATAAACTTTTTGTCCATTTTGCTTCCTGGTGTGTCTGGTTCTCGGTCGCCCAGTTTCTATTGGTCTTACATGCATTGGTTACTGCATGGTTAAAGTTAAACTGTGTTGAACTTTGACCGGGTTGGTGCACAAGCTCGCCACAGCACCGCGCTGCACGTGTGCTTTGCTTTCTGTGATAAACTGCCCTCGTGTGGCACAAGCCAGTGAAAAAAGATGGGTTTCAGAGCATGCTCACATCCCATCTGAAAGGACCAGTAGAGTTCCTGGTAAAGACGGGGCTACATTCATCTCACTAGATTAAATCGTAGAGAAAAACGACAACATAGTGGTCTTGTCTTTATCAGACTGTTACTAAGGGACCCAGACTCTTCAAGAGTTCTGACTCTTGAAGGAGGCGGTCGCATTTCCCTGCTGTTCTGCAACTCCTTGCTCTGTCCCTGCTTTGCTGTGTCTTGTCTTTTCTGAGCCCTCTCTTTTCTTATCAGCCGAATTCAAACCACCGATGGGGTCAGCTGGACTCTCAATGCAATTGACCACATTTTCTCAACTGGGGGACAGGGAAAAGGGTCCTGCCGTGACATACTTCATGGGATACACCATGGATTCTTGGAAGGCTTGGAGGATGGTGTATTTTATAATATGGTCAGTGGAGGACATCGAAGATGTATGGTTTTTCTGATTTATGATACTCTGATTTCTCCTGTTTGGATCTGGAGGATACCTGATGTATCTACAATTACAGAGGATGTCGGCAGCAATTTGGGCCGGAGTGTGAGCTGAGCCGTATGCTGGGTGCGATTGAACGCATGCTAGCTGTGGTGGTTAAACTCAAAGGTAAGATGGGATGATATCTTGGATGTGGGTGCTTGCTTCAAGGTGGAAAAACCCAACAAATTTGGAACATTGGATTTGCCACGTAGAGCCAGCAATAAAAGACTCAATGCTGAAGGAAAAATCCTGCAGCCCACTCTTCAAACAGTAAGTGTTATTTTGGATTCGGCCTCCCCTTATGAAAATCTCCCCTGGATGTTATGGTGGAAGGACCCAGAAGAACTGCTACCACCCAGCCCCCTCTGGTTTTTTCCCCCTCTCCCTCCCCAATGTGGCTCCTATCTTTCCACAGGGATAAAGGCAGCGCTATAGTGAACAATCTACAGGTTGGGGCCCTTGGAAGCCATAAGAACGCCTAAAGGCAGCGTTCTGCGTGACCCATGGCCTCAGTAAATTGTTCCCTGTCAGCCTCCCCACCCTAATGTATGTGATTATTTTGTTATTTTGTTATGTTATTTATTTGTTATTTTGTTTTGTTTTTTTTGTTTTTTTTTGTCTGCACCAACAACACCAAGTCAAATTTCTTGTAAGTGCAAACCTTCTTGGCAATAAACTTGATTCTGATTCTGATGAACAGTTTGTAATAAAACCGAAATCTTGATTACAATGTAAATTGTAGTTGACATTAAAGAAACTGATTGATTGATTGATTGATTGATTGATTGATTGATACCAGGTACCAGATCTGGTAGCGCTGTGGCTAGCTTTGCTCAGTAGCTAACAGTTTAGCCTCTTTGTGCTCGTTCTGCTAGCCAAAATAAGCTACTCTACTTTGAACTTTGTTTCAACCATTAGGCTAATAATATGTTGAGACTCTAGAAGAGATTTGATCCTGAAGAAACGGGTGCAATCCAGTTTGTCCAAGTGGAATTGCTGTATAATGACGTCATAAGAAGGGGCGGGGCCCCAAAAAAATCTGGTACCTAAACTGACCCTCTTAGGTGAGTTTTTGAGAAGAGCATCGATACGCAACAATTGTTGAATACTGACCTGAAAAATCATCTAATCGATGTCAGATGAAGCTAATATTGCCTCGAAAGTGATGCAGAGTTGCTTTTATTCCACTTTTAAACGTTTTCCCGTTAAAAAATGATCTCCAGCAGTTTGGAAACACTCACGTTGAGACTCTGACCGGCTGCTTTGGGCACGGTGATAGAACCTGCCAACCAGGACGGACTCTGAAATCCATCCCTCCTCCAGACTTCCACTTCTTCGCCGCCTGCTGGTTTTGACAGAACCCTTAAGAAATTGTTGCTTTCGATCCCATACATGTAGTACCGGAACTGAACGCAGATCTTAGATGCCGATGAGGTGATCAAGGGGCTCAGCAGACGAGCTTTTTGTCCATTGGAGACGTTGTCGCATTCATGGTATATATAGAATCCATCTGCAGACAGAGACACACAAAGACTCAGAATTCTTTGGACTTAACGCTTGGGCTGTTAGACGCGTCAGAACCAAAACAGCTGGTAAACTGACTTCCATCTGGGTAGTCTCCGCTGGGGCCGGTGCCAGGAGTCGGAGTTGGACCTTTATGTCGGGTCCAGTCGCTGTTATCCGCCGTGTCCTGGGTGAAGCTGCAGAATGGCTGACTGTCATGATTAAAGTCGCAGGAGGTGATCACGGCTGTTGGACAGACAGACGACAGAGATACAGACGTGAAGAATTTACATTTCATTAAAAACCTGAATAATTTGTCTTCCAGAAATGCCATTACTGCAACCCATCCCTGTCTGACTTCATCATTCTCTAACAACAAACCGGGTTGGTGCAAAACATTAAAATACATCATTAATGTTTGTATTGAAATAAGTACTGCAAATAAAGTCTGAATTATGTTTTAGTAATTAATCTTTTTTTTTTTTTCCCATTCTTCCATCTTAGGGAAACACAGAAACACTCAAAGCAGTGATGTTTACACCTAAAACACTGCAAAAAATCAACAAATTAGTCAAAATGTCTCAGACTAAGTGTTTTTACCCTTAAATAAGATGATCCACCAATGAAATTAACATTTATACCCTTAAAATAAGATGTTTTTTCTTATCTTAAATTTAAATTGAGCGGCTGTATACAGATATGTTTTTATCTTGCTTTTTTTGGGGTTTTTTTTATACCCAAATCTCATCTAAGAGGACATTTACAAGCAAATATCTGTAAAAAAAAAATTAATTCAGCCCAAAAATAATATTATATTTCCGTTTTTTTCTACAAGCATTTAGATCTTTCTCAATAATTTTCCATGTAATCAAAGCCTGCTTCACATTGAACCCGACTATGAGTCAATTTAACATCTACTTGGAAACGACATGACCTCAAAGTTCAACATTCACAGAATTAAAAACCTGAATCAGCGCGACAAATAATTGACTCGTACACTGGAAAAAATCTGAATCTAGATCAGTAATTTTTTCTTAAAATAGGTGCATTTGTTCTTGGATTGAGGAATTAAAAGAGACATTTTCCCACTGGAACAAGACAATTTAGATTCAAAATATTTCAACCACATATTATCTAATTATCTTATTTTAAATACTGTATTTAATGTATATTTAATATATAATATTGAAAATACTCATTGCACTGGCAAATTGTCTCATTTGCCTATTAAAATTAAGGGTAAATACAATTAATTTAAGTCATTTTTACTTATTTCTAGATTGTTTTTCCAGTTATCAGTCTGATCCAAATGGCTCAAAAATAACATCTCATAATGTCAATACATATAAAGTTGTTTTGTTTGGTTGCTTTGGGCGTTCTAGGCGAGAAGGCAAGGTGAAAAAGTTGTTAGAGATGCCCAAGATAAGGAGCAGTAAATAGATAAAGGCGAGAACATTTGGTCACATGCGGCAACATGTGGCCATTTATCAGCAGAGGGGATTGCTTTAAGAGGGAGGAATACTTAAACAGAGTTTAGAAAAATCCAAACCAACATACCAGCATCTCTTTGGTTTCCCTTCAGGCTGTAAAAGAAAGAAAAAATATAATTACATTGCTTCTCATTTGGATTTACTTCTGGAATGCTTCTCAGATAAACTTGAATTAAGACACTTGGAAAGAAAATACTAAAAACTTACAAGTTTAATTCAGAAAAAATAAACTAAATAAATAAACTTGCTGATTACTAATAAGGTCAAACCCTGAAGGTTAGACCACCTTATAAATATCCACTATAACTACAAAATCAACCCTACACTGGAAAAAACGACCTTTAAATAAGTACAAATTTCTTAATTTAAGTAGCTAAATGAGAGTTTGCCAATATAATGAGTATTTTTACTCATTATATTGGCAAACTGAAATAAGATAATTCCATAATATGCACTTAATATAAGACAATGCAGTTGGGTTTTCTTATTTTAAATGTAAATTGTTTTGTTTCCGGTGGCAAAATGTCTCTTTTATCTCCTCAATCCAAGAACAAATGCAATTATTTTAAGAAAAAATTATTTTTTTCCAGTGCAGATTAAAACCCTTAAAAACAAATATATATATAAAAAAAACTAAAGCCTTAAAAGTTGGATATGGAAAAAAAATAAAAAATAAACTGGTTGATTATTGATAAGGTCATCCCCTAAAAGTAATACTGCATTATAAATATCCACTATAACTATAAAATCAACCCTACTGGACATTAAATAAAATACTGGCAAAATAAAAAATGACTGACATTTAATAACCTTCACACTGTAAAAAAAAATCAAAATCTAGATGAGTCATTTTTTCTTAAAATAAGTGCATTAGTTCTTGGATTGAGGAGGAAAAACAAGAAAATTTACATTTAAAATAAGAAAAAACCCAATTGCATTGTCTTATTTCAAGTTATTATCTAATTATCTCATTTTAAAATCTGCAAACGATCTCATTAACCTACTCAAATTAAGGGTAAATACAGTTAATTTAATTATGTTTTTTTCAG